CCGTTTATTAGTCAGTCCAATTACTTACACTATTTGTTTAAATTAGATATTTGTCTAAGTTAGACAAAGTGGGTCTTACTACTGCCAGCCACTTCACCCACCAGGTGAATGGCACCTCAAGGGATTATGGGTATTACCTGTAGAATCTCTAGTTTCGCTCCACTTTTCCAAGCTGAAGCACATGAAAATATGGAAGGCCAGTTCCTCACGTCTTTGGTTCTTTGCTCTAAAGATGTGGTTCATAAGGTGAGTCAACCTGAAAGACCACAAAATTATCAGTGAGGTACAGAGATTTTAGTAACTATCTTGAACGACTTTAAGTCAACTTTAAGTCAACAAATTTACGACCAGTTTTAGCCTGCCTAGATCTTTTTCTACTAGAAACATTTTTGTGATGAAACCAGGCTCGGTTACTGGGCACTGCTGGACATGAATATATTCCCCACTTAATACGGATATTTATGTGTGCGTAGGTTGTACAAGTAAGATATTTTCAGGGGATGTTTCCTGGCTACTAGCTTGAAGACGACAGAGACAAGTAAACAATGCCTTCAATGTTTACCAGTATTCCTAATCTTTAACCAAAATAGTGGTAGTAATAGGGGGGTGCCATAAACTTACTGTACGAGAAAACTGTATCATAGAATAGTTTTATATTTTTTTCTCTCAAAATTGACAAAGAGGGCGATGTACCATATTTACGCCCTCTCTGAAATATAAATACTGTATCAGTAACCTAAAGCGAAATGTGGTTATTTTTGGGGGGATTTTGCAATCACACCAAGGAATGGCAGAGCAGTAATGTCTCTGAAAAAAATAAAATAAATCCTATAAAAGTATTGGGAAAAGTACCACAATTTTCATATCACACAGATATTTCTATCAATCGCTTGTTGCGTTGGCTGGTTCCCGCCTCAAGTGTCATGGCGTACGAAGCCACATCCTACCTGCCATTCGCAAAGGACGCCGGGAACCAGCGAACTTGTTGCGTTGCTTGGGCACAATGCGCATTTATACCGCCCTCACGCATCAAATTCTCTTAAACGTTCGTTTAAATTGAGGACAAAATAGTACGACCAGCAGGGATTCTCACAGAAACGGTATGGATGAATGTCCTTTAATTCACCCGCCACCAAACCGACTAATCCATTATAACACAGAAAAACTAACCATACACGGCTGTTATATGTTAGTATGTTTTTTTTATGAATTTTGAATGAAAGGCAACGCAAATTTGATTAAAAAAAATCCTATCTGCATGGTAATATTTTGCCATGAACGCCAACAATTTATCCAGTCAAAAGTTGTACAACACTTGAATGTATTTTTCGATAATTTCTTTGTTAATTATGGACCAATTTCTATTGGCTACAGATCTTAGTCAAAATATTTGAAAAACAAATATTTGGACGACTATTTTGTGAAAGGCAACTAGAAGGGTTGGACTCGTTGAACTATGTTCCAGGCATATTTCAGTAATGCAGTGGAACCCAATATGAATTGTTTCCGTGATCACCTTTTTCCGGCGCCAGATGTAATATCATTGAGTATTCATATTAGAGTCTAACGTGCCTGCTCAAGTGACAATGGCACCAATCTCGCGGCTGAGATGAACGTTGAAACTGTAACGCTATAACAGAGACGGCTTCGTTCCGCTAATGACGGAACCACCCTAATTGTTCATCGCTAGATATTGTGCCGCGCGTAAATACGTCGCCCAGGGGTTAGCCATTTGACCGAGGAAGGAGAATTAGGATTTTCCAAATATCCAATATGTTATTCAAATTTGCACAATTGTTTATTCACATCTTCAAACTTCTATTCTTACCTTTTTTTTTATTTTATTTTTTATAAAATCCTCTAGCCCGTCCCAGATTTTCTGTTTTAAATAGGGAACCCAGGTTCTTATGAGTAACGTTAATAATTGAAAGATATCATATGAACAGTGTCGGGGTCAAAGGGCAGGGGAAAACATATCAACAAGATAGCATTCTGTGTTACTTTGTACTCGTTTCAAAGTTTGTGACCCGAAGACCAGGTCAAACGCATACTCTGGTAATAGCTTTGAATGGCACACATTTTCCCGCGAAAAATGATTCCATAGATTCGGTGTGGACAACAGCGTTTTCTAGAAAGAATATTTTTTTGTTTCTTTATGTTGGTTTGTTAAAAAATGCAATATGGACGAGAAAAGATTTTTTTTTTAAATATTTGTTTGATACTTTATGTTTATGAATTAGACTGAACTATCATGACATAAACACGCCGTTCTTGTCGCACACATCGCAGTTTGATCGTTCGATAAAACACGTTTGGGACTAGAAATCTCTCCACACAACAAAATATATACTACCGATGTCGGACACAGTTCCCCCACATACGATTGTTGCATCATAGACAATGTAGCAGGACTACTATACTGTCTATGACTGTAGTCATTTTATATGCACTTCCTTTGAAGTGCAACGGGGGCACCGTTTGGCATATACCGTGGTATATGGAAACACTCTGCAGCTTACGGCACCGGTGATTATCCACCGTGGCAATCATGAGTAGTCTGCACTAACAGATAACGTGGATATGCTTCATGTATTTCGAGAACACAGATTTTTTTTTTCTCTCTTCTATTGCTGAATGGTGTTTTGCTAGACTTTATGAGCGCAATAGTCATTATTGGACTTAATTTGATTTACAGCCATACAAAATATGTATATATGAACTCTAAGGAACGATATGTAATATATATGGATGGCACAAAGAAATCTTAACATCCATTTGATAAGGACAAGTACATTTTTACTTAGGTTGGTTTCTCAAAGATTGACAGCACGTTTTGTACTTCTTTGAATTGTCTTGCACCATAATTTGAGTTAAACTTGCCATTCTGATCACAAATTGCAAACCGTAACAAAACAAAACAAATAGAAATTCAATATTATGCCAATAAAAAGTTTCATCGAAGTCAAAGTCAAAGTCAAATCACAGTTCCTCTATTGAGGGAATGTTGTGAAATCACCAAAACAGATAATTGTTAGTAATTTGCAGCTCCGTGCAGTATCCTCTTTTTCTCATTGGTTATGCCGCGTGGCATTTTTGACGAGTCTGCCTGTTGCACCACGTACGTTTAATTGTGACCCCCTAAACATTTTTTGTGGAAAAAAGTGAAATGCCTGTATAACTGTATGATCGGGTCGTGACAAGATTATTAAACACCAGCGTCTGCGAAATACAATAGGCCGCTCAAACTCAGAACTGAACCTTGGCCTCGCGTTTTAGTTTCTGATGTGTGAAACGTACAAAGCACTTCAAAGTCTTTTCTGTAAACAGATCCGGACGGCGCTAGTTCCCACACGAGGCTACAGAAATAGGTGTTAGAAGTCCCCGCCTTTTTAATTAAACTTTTTCCGCACAAAGTACCTATTGCGAGCCACCATTGTGGGCGGTTCAAAACACCGAGACAGACCCCAATGCTAATTACGAGAAAACTGCAATAGCATTGCTGGCCGTTGCCACGATACTGTTGACATTCAATCATAGTCAGGGGGCGAATGTCAATAAATATGAGCATCTATTTGTGTACACACGTGTGTATTCGATTCACACCTGCATCGCACCTGGCAATAGTTTAACACCTCTCAAAATATCCCAACTACTTCAGTTGACCCCAGTCTCTAAGCGCACGTACACTCGAGTGTTTGGATTTGGGTTTACTTGTAAGACTACGCCATGTCCGGCACAATCCATACACCGCTACACATTCTTAACCCAATTGAACAGCTAAAGCGTTACCGTGTAGATTTCGCGCCATCCGAAGCGCTTTTGTTGTTTTTATTTGCCTAATTAATGCAAGCGCTCCACGGGTGCTTTACTTGGATGTTGTCTCGGCTAAAACAGTTTTTCGCTGCTCCCTACGGCGACTTACATTTCAAAAGAATATATAGATGGAGGCTGTGTAGGGATTTCAAAGCCGCTCTCGAGACAAGGTTACCTCCGTATAAAAAGAGTTGAACTTTTTTTGAAGTATTAGGCGCCGTTCGTGCATAATATCCCATATCGCGCCTTTCTTGTAACCAACCTTTGCCCCCATGGAGTTCTCCGAAGCGACGGGGAGCCAACATGTCAAAGCGAAGCCCAACAAGCGCGATCTTACATTCTTTGGCCACCCTATGGCCCCTCGCAATTTGCATACAAAAAGCGTGAAAGACCAAGTGCAGAGATGTAATGGCGTTCGAGGTTTAAGTGTTAACTAACAGGACGGGCCACGTCCGACTATTTGTAGTTATATTCCAACAATAATGGTGTGGTCCACCCGTCAAAGGTCTCCGTCTATCGTGTCAGGTTACAGCACTGCCAACACTGATAATTCCAACGTGGATACTGATTATGGGGCGAATTATTTCCCTCAGCTGTCAACACCTAACACAAGTCTCTGATCTTCCACGGTTATCAGACCAGCCGAGTCCATTGGGGGAGACGCAATGACTTGCTCAAGTGGGCAATAGAACAACACTTTGTTGTTACACGGAATGAGAATTGAAACCCTTAATAAAACGCCAGACATGGGGGGGGGGAACAGTATATACATATATATCGGATATTCGTAGGGCAGGAACCCAAACACACACAAGCAGAACGGTCATCACATTACAGGGCAACAAAAACAGCCCTATCCGGACTTTTTATTTGACATTGGGTGGTGTGATAGTATAAATTTGATATATTTTCGTTCGGCAAAACACTTTGTATTCATTTTTTTACTAGAAAAAAATCACTTTAAAATGTACAACTCTTGTTGAACTTTTCGCCTTTGTTTTTTTTTCTCCTTTAGTTGATCTGGTTGAAACCGATGGCCTACTTATTAACAAAGAGGGGGTTATTTAGCTTACAAAGTGCCTACACGAAGGCTATGCTTAATTTAATATTGAGGTCACTGAAGAGTCTGGCAGGGAACAGGCTTTTCGGAAACATTTTTTATGTAAAAAAAAACAACTCCTGTATTGTGACCCGTGATAGGGTTTATCTTTTTTATATAAATTATTACTGATCTAAACAGTTTTTGTTCACATCTTATGTACATGTTCTGCAGATCTGTAGAGGATTTTAGCTATCCCTACAAGTGCCTTTCTAAAAAAAATAAAAAGCACATAACCATCAAAATGTTTTTTTGACTCAACATATATACAGCACTTCTGTGTTCTCATGTAATATTGTATAGAAGATATTTTTGTAATATATATTATTATATTAGTTACGCTAATGTCTGCTTTCTCCCATCATTGATAATAAAACAAGTAAGACAATACAGGCCCCTAGCGTCCAACAGTTTGTAGTCCTTGAGGGGGCACGATTGTAAGCCACCTCCAGTGAGGTTTTATTCTGTAACGGCACGTCCGTAGTCCTGTTACGGTGCACGTTAGCATTTGGAAGAAGCTCTTGGTAGTCTTTTAGTGCTTTTTTGGCAGCCATTGTAAAATTGACGTCTCCCGTCGTAATAAGGTCAAACACACAGGAGTCAAAGTAGAAGTCCGTGACATTGGCCTCTAAGCACTTGGCAATCGCGGTTTCCTTGGACATGACAAGTCCGCTGGTATCTTTTATTTGATTTGGCGATGACAACAGTTCGTTGAAATCTATTTTTTCTTGGTGCGGACATCCCTTAACACAAAGTTCGAGTCCGTCTTTGACACCAGTGTCGACCAGATCTCCTGGCATGCGAATAGCAAAAGTAAGGTAGCTTCCGACTTGCCGCACAACAATCGTGGTGGCGATAAATTTGGCGTGGATTTCCACATGTTTTCCAGGCAAAATCTCCACAATGACAAGACTCCTGCCGGGTCCACTGCTATAGGTGCCGTCAACAAACGACGCCGGTAAATTACCCGTCTGGGCCTGGTAAAGTTTTTGTTCTGAGCACTCTGAATGCCCTTTGATAATGACCGTCAACTGTGAAAGACAAAATAAGAAAGACGGGTGAACAATTGAAACATTAAGAAGACTGTACAACAGATAAACTACAGTTTTGACAAAAAACGTAAACATTAAAGCATTTTCTTCGAACCCAGTGGCTGACCGAATAAATACTGAACTGTTTAAATCGGCATGGAAAAAACACTTGTATACATTTGATTAAACTGAGAATATAACGACAAATAAAATAGGGAACTAACTGACAATGTCAGATTGTGGTTTCAACGACATGAATGGGGGACAAAAACATTGCTTTGTTATTTTGAACTTAGACCAGCCAGTGACGGAAACCATCCCAAATATTGTCGAAGCACGCCAGCGTAGGACACTTACACTACTTTTAAACAGGATTACTTGAATCACGAGTTATTCTAGTTGGGAAACATACACAGTCGAGTAAACATACTTCGCCGTATGTGGCATAAAAGAAAGCCAGGCAATATTTAAATTAGGCACAAACCTGGTCAGTTGCTGTCGCACTAGAACCGTCCACTAAAGGCACATTAGTAACTTGTACAGCTAAATGACGATTGTCTATGAGCGGCCACGCTCCAGCAACTTTACACGTTTCAAACACATCGTCAAACGTTCTCAAATGCGGGTCTCCAAAAAGACCACAGTGTTTGAAGGTACGGGGTCCATGGTGGCTGCTACACCGCGTTTCAACTTCCGATGGTTTTGGAGTCGGTCTCGAATGATGCGAGCCCCCGCCGTGAGCCGGGGGGGTGTTGGAACAGTTATAGGTTTGCATTAGATCCGGAATAAGAGTCACTGTAGTATGATAATGAAGATCCCCGCGACAAGTACGGGCTGTAGCATCTACACAACTACGGTACAAACGTAACGCATCACAATATTCAGCGTCCGACGTGGGCGACAAATGATCCGTATTATCGGCATATTCCTTTGAGCACTTGAGTATCTTGCACGCTGAGTTAACTGTAAAGGAAATCAGAGAAAACAGTGTTATCGTCATTTCAGGCGAGAATACGCTGACACGAATTAGCAAGTTTGAGTAGAGTTTGATCGTTCAACATGGTGGCCACCACTATGTGTGCGTTGTTTTAAAACACCATTAGCAAAGGGCGCTGCTGCTGCTACTAAACCGGACGGACATTGTTATAAGCGTTGAAAACGGAACGGAAAACTCATTGTATGTTTACATTACCTGAAGACGCCAGTGTAACTAGGATCACAATCTGTAGAAATATGGGTGAAGGGCGAACAGCCAAGCTGCAAAAACGCCTTCTCCCCATACCCTTCCATGCAGTACGGGCTGACGGTAACTGATTCGATGTAGCTGCACGATATGCTCTGTGGACATGAAAATAGAAATAACCAGTCAGCTAGCCATCAATCAAAGGAGACCGCGGTCAACGGGACGCTGAATGCCAAACTATCTGCCTCCTTAAGCCACGCCCAGGACATCCCAATACGCGAATAGAAGGTCCAACGTGGGACCTTAGTTTAACACCTTCGGGACCCGCCAGCAAAACAACTCGCCAATTCTCCGGCAAATGCGAGCTGGTAAAGGTCAATCGACAAACTGGGCAGGGCTTACCGCTGCTATTTGACACCCTCGGTCGAATTCTCCCCGCCTCCCGTTGTGACCCGATCGCCTATGTGCGTATCACCTATCAAGAGCCAGCTGTCAAATGTAATTGCGAATAAACATCGTTTGCTTGTTCTCTATTGGCCGATACCGTGACACAACAATCATCTCGTAAAAACCCTTTGTAAAAGCCCGATAGCGAAGAAAGCGTTAGCTCGCCAACACTTGAAAGCCATTCAGTTGCCAGTCACAAGCTTTAGCACGGATCAAGTCGGGTTTCACTGTCTCGCGGATGACATACATTCAATGAACCAACAAGCCACGTTTGTCTCCGTGCGTGTACATGGTGTAGCTACGGGAGTGGGGCGGGGGGGGGGGGGGTCATGTGAAGAAATTACTGATAACGGTTACAAATAAACTATTTGTGCAACCATAGACCTTAGAAAGAGATCTATGGTGCAACTGCTAAGACACAACTAAGTAAAGCGGCTGGGCACACATTATAGCTATGGGTGAGTTTCTGATAGTGAAGGTACGCAACATTCCAAAACATCAGTTCACATCAAATACAGTACTCCGTAAGTGCGGTTACACCGACACATACGATTTTAATTATATCCCAAACCCACTGATACAGCACGCACTGCTTGAATCCAGACAGCCGAATTCAGATTTGTTTGACATGATCGATTAGTAGCGTGAGCAGCACAACACATCGCGTTGAATTGGACTTTAACCCCGCCTTCTATTGACACGCTGTTTAAAATGCAAATTTCGGGGCAAAAAGCCGCTGTCAGATAATATTAGGATTGGCACAGCCCAGAGACTGACATCGAAATTGCAGTATCTGATTATATTTATTTGTTGTGAATAGCTGTTCTCACCGTGCGTAATACATACGGTATATAACACGGGGCAATGCTTTACATAGCGAGTGTACGAGTCAACGAGTAACATCTGCACAAAACGTGACACATCGGGGAAATTCCACACAGCTAACTACAAATTGATTTCACACACAGTGCGCTCGTTTATTAGTCGAAACGTGCGGAAATGGACGATTTGAAGAACACTAAACTCAAAGCAATAACACAAAATCTGCCATATTTTTGAGGCCGTGGGAAGTATTACTAACACACCAGAAAAGACGTACATTAAAGATGTCGCAACGCTTCTGACAATGATACCACCCGGGGTGAAATCTCAAACCAAAGCGCGGTAAACGGTACCGAACAGTAAATCACAGCGAAACACACACACACGCACAAAAACTCCACATTAAAACGTTGAACTAAGCCCTGTCATAGAAAGCATTTGAAAAGCTGGCATATTGGTCATTCTGCTTCTAAGTCTCGTATACCCCCACACTACTTCAAGTGGGCACTAGCCGTACTTCTGAAAACCATTCCTTTACGGTCTCTTTGGAACACCTCAACAATGGCCCAGCATTCACACACACAAGCCGTGTTTTGAAGTTCACAGAGAGAGAAAACGACTGCTTGAAAGCACTTCCTTTGGAGGTGGGGGTCCATTTATTTCAAAAGGCTCGGCAGATATAACACAATGAGGAACAAATTTTGACAAGCAAGTCGGTTTATTTTCGCACACTGTTGGTCACGCCGGAGAGAATAACGGTCAGCTACGTAGGAACGCATCTTAGCACCTCGGTATTAATCACATTTTCACGGATTTTAAGGTGTGAAAAGCCAATAAAACAACAGATTAATCGCCGTTTATTGTTTTGTTTTCCCAGAGTGCCATCCAACAAGCTACTCTACCTAACAATTGCCCGCTCTAAAATCACAATATTTAGATTTTTCACCGAAAAGCTGAAACAGCAAAAGGAATACAAACGCACATGGCGTTTATCAGAATGGCGCGAAATGCCCCCTTCAATCCCGATTGCCAGCGGTGTTATGTTTATACACGATTGCTTCCAATGGCTGCTTTTTATCGTTAATACCCCGGTCATATTCACACTTTTCTCAGCCATCTCAATTCCCAAAGGACCGCCCTCCCATTGGGATCGATCTCGAGTTAATTTCGCTGGTGTTATAACTTCGACCAGACTAGGATATTACATTGTAAGACGGTATACAAATGCACAATAATGTAGGCACGAACGACGTAATTATAGCACGCAGTTAAAATGGCCACGGGCAAGTTTGATATGATTATATTTATTGGGTGAAACACTGTAGTAGCTTGGGGTTACTCAACACCCATGCAATATATTTACAGCATGACAGCATTTCATATCTTTAAACGGAACTGTCCAGTCTCGTTTGTCGGTCTTACTAACAACGCACGTATTAATGCAGACAGCTGTCGAATGATTTCATATCATTGACGGCCCACTAAAACAGTGTCATTGGTGTATTTTCTGACTGGAGATGTCTTATAAGGATACGGTGAACTTTCTTGCTCACGGGGTGGGGTGGGGGGGGTGGGGGGTCGTCGAGTAAAGAGTTTCTTTCTCTTTTGTGCGCTGAAGTGAATTGCACCATATACCCTAGAAAGAGATTGTACTGAGTTGCCCGGTAAATACCTGCGTGTTATTAAACGCGCACGTTTAGTACGGGGGGGGGGGGTGTTATTGGAAACCTCAGACGATGGAACCGACGTAGAAATCACCTATGTGGGGGATTAGCCACGTAGACAGCAATAGTTTGGATCTGGTAGCCCCTCAATCGCTGGTAGCCTTTTTGTTGTTGTAGCCGTTTACTCGGTAAACTTTCTACACCCATGCATAGCCACTAAGTTGAATACGCTATGTGACCAGCCATACATTTATTTCTCGGGAATGATAATACCCAGAACAAGGGGTCTATTTATCTCGGCGAAGAATCCAAAGATATATAAAACTCGCAAATGTGACCAGACAATATTGAAAGCAACACAATTCAGAGCCACTTTACACAAACTGGAAATTATAGTATCACTTAAAAGTGAGACCATAGAAAGCCCAACCAACCAACCAACCATTGGGAGTTTGTTTTGAGAGCGGTATGAGTGAGTTTGTTGAAATCACGGAGAGTCTCTTCGCGCCTAATTGATTTTCAGTTGGTAGGAACACAAAGCACACGTGCATGCTCGCATCATCCGCGGAAGATTTTGACTCGGCCGAGAACGCATCCAAAACGTTGGGGGAAATGAACATCGACTGTTACTGCTGCGAGGCTTCAACGTCACCGCGTGCTATTTTCGTCACCACGGCACGTGTTTAGACCATTAAAGACAACAGGCGTTGTGGATTTCTTCGGTGCCGTCTTGGCTTACAGATACGCATGTACGAATGTCGGCGGGGTTTTTATGACCGAAGTAGTCGAACCGTTGTGACATTCTGTAGAAAGGGTCAAGTGGACAGTATTACGATTCAGCCAGATGTTTGAGTCGACATTTTGCTGGGATTTTAAAGTGACTATGGGGGGGGGGGGTGACTTTGGAAGTGTCGGGAAAACATCGCTAATAATATGTTAGTTAAAAGACGATTGGAATAAACAATCGGTCACCATCAACATATCGAGTTCCATTTCTACGACGAGAACTACCAACAGAAATAAACAAACACATCCTCGGCCAAATTTTAGGGGTATCACTGTCCTTTCATTTTGATGGTTGTTTTCCTCCTGGCAGTTAGAATCTATAGCAGAGTCAGTTCAGCATTCTTCTACATAGGAAAACTCACACAAGAGAAGTGCGAAAAATTATAAGGATTCATGGACCAGTGGTTTATATTAGTGAAGCTCATTCAGCGACTGCTTTCACCTTGCTATGTTACCCCGCTT